AAATTGTTTACTACCCAACTTCCCAAGCCTCAGGGTGAAAGTTCCTCTGGCAGCACCTCTCACTCATACCCTCCTGAAGTTGCCCAGGTCCTTTGTAGCACTGCCGTAATTATTACTCAAAATACTAATTAACGATTTCTCTTTGTATGATGCTTTAAAGCCACGAGAACCTCCAGGGCAGGGACGGGGTTTGGTTCATCTCTGGATCTCCAGCACCTGGTGCCCCGGAGGCTCAGGTGGTGTTTACAGGAGAAATGGGTGACGGACGAGCCAGTGGACACATGGAGTGGGCATGACGAGGGTGTCAATTGATGAGCGAGTGGGGTGTCTCTCCGCACCCCACTGTGGGGGATCCTAGGGTTGTGTATGAGTTCTCTTTGGGTTCCCCAAACCAAACCCCTTACCATCGAGTTGATTCCAACTCATGGCGACCCCGTGTGTTACAGAGTAGAACTGCTCCATAGGGTTTTCTAGGCTGCAGTCTTTATGGCAAGGAGCCCTGGTGGTGCAGTGGTTAAAGCAGTTAGCTGCTAACCAAAAGGTTGGCTGTTTGAGCCCACCCAGTGGCTCCATGGAAGAAAGACCTGGTGATCTGCTTCTGTAAAGATTACAGCCAGAAAATTCTATGGGTCACTTCTACTGTGTCACATGGAGTCACCCTGAGTTGGAATTGACTCGATGGCACCCAACAATAATCTTTAGGGAAGCAGACCACCAGGCCGTTCTTCTGCGGCACCCCTGCAAGGGTTGTAACCACCAACTTTTAGGTTAGCAGCCTAGCGCAAACGGCTTGTGCCTTGGGTCCCCAAGCCTCAGGGAATGTTTGGGAATAAGAACAATTAGATTAATGAATGGGTTGCTTAATAATGGGATCGCACTGCCTGTTAGCTTAGTTCACCCTCACAGTCATGCTGTGAGACAGCAGAACAGAGCAAAGCATCAGCCCATTTTATAGTTGGGAAGAGTGAGGCTCAGGGAGGTTAATGTACTTTCTCAAGTGATGCAGCAAGAGAGAACCAGAGGTAGGACTGTTGTTGGGTGCCATCAAGTCGATACGAACTCACAGCAACCCCATGTGACAGAGTAGAACTACCCCATAGGATTTTCTTGGTTGTAATCTTTACAGAAGCAGATCGCCAGGTCTTCCTTCTTTGGAGTTTCTGTGTGGGTTCAAACCGCCAACTTTTTGGTTAGCAGCCAAGCACTTAACCATTCACACCGTCTAGGGAGTCCTTAGTCAGGAGAAACCAAAAACCAAACCCATTGCTGTTGATTCTGACTCATAGCAACCCTATAGGACAGAGTAGAACTGCCCCATAGGGTTTCCAAGGCTGTAATCTTTATGGGAGCAGACTGTCACATCTTTCTTCCACGGACCAGCTGGTTTGTTCCAATAATCAGCCTTTTGCTTAGCGGCCAAGCACCTCAACCACTGCACCATCAAGGCTCCTACAAATCACAGGGGGAGAAAAACCATTGCTGGCAAGGTGATTCTGACTCATAGTGACTCTATAGGGCAGAGTAGAACTGCCCCATAGGGTTTCCAAGGAGCGGCTGGTAGATTTGAACTGCCGACCTTATGGTTGGCAGCCAAACACTTAACCACCGTGCCATCAGGGCTCCAGTCAGGAAAAGGGGGTGTTAATTATTTTTGTGGTCATGGTGTGGCTTTGTCAATGTTTTGTTATAAATATCTGTGTCTTGTATGAAACATTTGGCTAATTTTTGGAAGTAGATCGCCTAGTCTGTCTTAGTCTGGAAGCTCTGCTGAAACCTGTCCACTGTGGGTGACCTTGCTGGTATTTGAAATACCAGTAGGCAGAGCTTCCAGTATCACAGCAACACATAAGTCACACAGTACAACAAACTAACAGATGGGTGTGGATTTTTCCTTTAGATAATAACGGTTATGATAAACCAGTAAGCTCTAGACTACTAGCCAAAAGGTTGGTGGTTTGAATCCCCCCAGAAGCACTATGGAAGAAAGTCCTGGTGATCTGCTTTCAAAAAAGTTAGCAGCTGGGCACTTAACGATTGCACCACCAGGGCTTCTTGCTAACTGATTACAGCCATGAAAACCTTGTAGACTCAGTTTTACTCTGTAACACATGCGGTCACCACGAGTTGGAATCTCCTAAGCAGCAACGGGTTAGGTTGTTTTGGGGTTTTTTTTTTGTTTGTTTGTTGTTTTTTTGTTGTACTAGGAGACTTCTTAGCAATTGTACTTCAACAGCTGTAAACTCTCCCTCTCCAATCTGTTCACTGCAACTGTTCCTGCCACTCAGCGTAAGAAAATATCATCAGAAGAAAAATATGAGGGGGCTTGTAAAGAGCTTTATAGTGGAATCTGTCCTTGGACCACAGCGCCTGGGAATTTCTGTGAGTACAGCAACACCAAAGGCTTACATGTTGCCGGAGAGACATCTGGTTGTTTGCATCCTCCACCCCATCTTCATTCACTCATTTCAACACTGATTGATGCCTGCAACTGGCCAACTGCTTTGGGAGACTGAGGGCTCTTTTGGTTACAAATGACAGAAACCCAACTACAATTAAAAAAACAAGCAAACAAACCTGTTGCCATCCAATTGATTCTGACTCATGGCTACCCCATGTGTGTCAGAGTAGAACTGTGCTCCATAGAGTTTTCTTGACTGTAATCTTTACAGATGCAGATCACCAGGCCCTTCTTCCACGGTGCTGCTGGGTGGGTTCGAACCCACCAGGTGCTCTGTGGAAGCAAGATGTAGCAGTCTGCTTCCATAAAGATTACAGCCTAGGAAACCCTATGGGGCAGTTCTACTCCGTCCTATAGTGTCGCTATGAGTCGAAATCGACTCGACAGCACACAACACCACCTTCAAATAAAGGAATTCAAGAATTTTTGTGTTTCAAGCTAGTAGAGGAATGTGATAGCTGGTCTCCAAGATCAGCCCCAATGATCCCTGCCTTCTGGTATTAACACCCCTGTGTAGTTCTCTCCCACATTAAATAGGGGTCACCTGTGTGCCAGTCGCTGAGTGGCACAAACAGTTGAGTGCTCAGCTGCTGACTGAAAGGTTGGAGGTTCGAGTCCACCCAGAGCTGCCTTGGAAGAAAGGCCTGGCAATCTACTTCTGAAGTCAGCCATCGAAAACCCTACGGGGCACAGTTCTACTCTGACACACATGTGGTCACCATGAGTTGGAATAGACTCCATGACAACTGTTGGTGTGATCAACGGGACATTATGGGATGGCAGAGACTGACTTTCAAGGCTAGGCTGTAAAAAGCATAGCACGTTTTGCCTCTCTCCCTTGGATACTGCACGTTGGGGGATGCCACTTGCCATTTTGAGAGGACATACAGCAGTTCCATGTGACAAGGAACTGAGGCCGCCTGCCAACAGCCATTGGAGGGAGCCATTTTGGAAGTGGCTCCTTCAGCCCCAGGCGGACATTTAGATGACAGCATTCCCAAAGACATCTTGACAGCAACCTCATGAAAGACATGAGACAGAATCACCCAGCTCAGCTCCTCCCAAATACCTGACCCACAGAAAACTGAGATAATAAATGCCTGTTGTTTTACATCATTAATTTTGGGGTAATTTTTGTGGAAATATACAGTGAAACCAGTGAGAGCCGGAACTCGACGGGATTGCATTGTTTTTCTGGGTCTCGAAAGTTTTCCACTTTTGACAGGGAGCAGCCTTACCACTCTTCTATTGCTCTCCACTAGTCGAAAATATTTGAGTTGTCCTTCTCTGACAGGTTTACGCCTTACACAGTTTCTGGCTTTTGCAGGTTTTACTGCTTAACTAGCACAGGGAGAATTAAAGTAGGTGATAATAGAGGAGAAACTGGTGCTTCCATTCCTTCTGTTCTAAGATGTATTTAAACATTTATCTGTTTGATATTAACGAAGGTGAACAGAGACACAAATTACTATTGACATATATATATATTTACTGTCAAGTCGATTCGGACTCATAGTGACCCTGTAGGACGGAGTAGAACTGCCCGATACGGTTTCCTAGGATTGGATGGTGGATTCGAACTGACAAACTTTTGGTTAGCAGCCAGCTCTTAACTACTGCACCATAAATAGTAATAATGATAAATCATCCACCGTTCAGGATTAGGTGAGAGAGAGCACAGTGCAGAATTGGGAAAGGACCAGCCCTGGAGGACACTGTGGTGTAAACAATAATTTAAATATCTGTCTTATATGATAACACTACACCCAACATTCAGCAAGTGCTTACTCAGTGTCTAGCTTGAGGTGAGGAGGTGAATTTTTACCCACTATGATCAATACGCTTTCAGCGGAGGCAGCATGTGTGGTCAAGGTGAAATACAAGGATGTGGTGCTAGACTCCACGTGTTCAAATCCAGGCTTTGCCATTCTCCGTGGGACTTCGGTAAGTGACCTGGCCTCTCTGTACCTCGTTATCTATACCAGGGACATGGAACTAAGTTATTGATCAGGACCCGCTCAATAACATTGGAATAGGTTATTCATCAGGGCCCATTCAATAACATGGGAAGAGATTATTGATCAGGACCCATTCCATAACATGGGAAGAGGTTATTGATTAGGACCCATTCAGACATAATGTATACACACAGCATCTGAAACGCCTCCTAAAGCCGAGGAGCACAACGTATTATTACTTTAGAAAGGAGAAAACTGAGGCTGAGAGAGGGGAGATGGGCACAGATAGAGACGCGGTGCGGCGGATCTCAGAGAAGGGGCCCTTCTGGTCACCCAGCTGCGGAGGAGGCTCGGCAGGGAAGGGGTTACAATGATAGAGAAGACGGGAGGACACGGCGTGGTACGAGCCGCCCTCTCAACAGCCCCCCCGCCCCCCCCACCGAGCCCCGGAGCGGCCTGCGCACGCGCAGGCGCGAAGCGCACCGGGACGGGAGGGGGGCACCTCCCTCGACAACCGGAAGTCTCCGCCTAACGGGCCGAGCCCGCGCCTCCTGTCCTGGAAGGGGGCGGGGCCCGGCGCCCCTCGGCGCGAGGCGCCATACAGCATGGACGGAGGCCTTGTGTCCTAGATGCATCCGGAAGTGGCTCCCCCAGGCACCCGCTCTGAACCATAGAGCCAGGGAGGGAGGGGGCGGCCAGGCCAGGGTCGCCGAACTTTCCTTCCTAGAGCCGAGAGGCTGGGGTGGAGGCCGGGGTGGGGGGGAGCGGCGCGGGCGGAAGCGGCCGGGAAGGTCACTTCCGGCCTGGCCGCCCGTCCCCCTGACCCCAGGGTCTGAGTCGCCGCTGCCGCCGCTGCCACCATCCGCGAGGGAGGAGAGAGGAGGAGGAGCGCGGCGCAGCGGCCCCGGGCCTGAGGAGGTGAGGGGAGGACGCGGGGGCGGGGGGCGTGCGC